AGAAAATTTCCAAAATATTCATTAAGCTTCGAGGTAAGCCCGTAGATATATCTAGTGACTAGAATGTTCCTTTAGATCGTTTCTCTGTTTATAAACGGTCATTTGGTTGAGTTTTGTGTTTGACATGTGTGAAAAAACCAAGATTCATAAACCTTGAAATTATTGTTAAAACTATGAATTAATGATACCAAAATGGTCTATGAACCTTGGAAAATATTTCTATATAGTTTAATTTTAGTTTGGTGACTAAAAATGGTATTTTCAAAATTAGACTCGACGAAAAAAAAGATGAACAGTAAAATAAAAAATGCAGAGAGGTTCGATCCAGGGGGTGGATCGATCCGCTAGGAGTTTCTTCTCTAGCATAGATCGATCTAGAGTACGGGATCGATCCCCCGAAGTTTTGCTCCGAAAATATTTCTGAAAATGCTATTTTTGAACTCTAAAATCCTATTTTTGATACCAATCAATTATGATTAATATAAAGATGATTTTTCACAATAAAAATAATGTTTGTGACAAATAAAATCTTATGTGATGCATGACGGTAAACTAGGGTGTTAAGGTTCGAAGCTAGGCCGCTATTTGCTATTGGATGTTATGTTGATTGATGATTATGATGAATGATTATTATGGATGATTATGATTTGATGAACCTACTTATTAAAATGATTATTATGAATGATTGAACCATGACTTAAAAATGAATATATTGATGATTATAATGTATATTAAATTTAAGGGTATCTAGAAGAACTCTAAGATATACACATAGCAATGTTGATTGTGAAGGGTGTATAGAAGAACTCTAAGATATACCTATTTATTTACGCTTTGCGGGTATGATGTCTGGTGGCCAGGGTTAAAACGTATGTACGGGATCCACAAACCAAATTGAGTACCTACTCGTTTGGGGGTACCACCCAACTCGACAGTGAATATTCCGTTGTTCGGTTTCTGGTTGATCATAAGTGAAGGTAAGTTTAAGATTTTGAAAACCCTTTTGAAAATTTGTATCTTAAATTAGGCCTAGCTTAAGGGTTGGTTAGGAATACCTTGAATGTTGAAAATATGAATGTTGAATAATGAATGACGAATATTGACTATTGAATATCTGAATTGAACATTATGTGCATGATATCAAATGATTTGATTATGAATTGAGATTCAATTTATATGGATGTTCGACGCATTAGATATGCTTACTCAGCTTCAACGCTGAGCGTGTAGTATGTTTTATTTGCTACACGCAGGTAAACAAAAAATGAAGTGGTGTATTCCTGGCAACAGATGGGGCGAGATGATCGGGATGGATGTGTGAATTTTTAATTATTGTTTTGAAAGACATAAAAATTTTATGTTTTGTGACTATTATTTATTAAGCTTCCGTAACATTAAACTCCTTCGTTATTATCTTGAATGAAGTATGATGAAATAAAGTTTTAAATGTTTGAAATGTTTTAAATTTCTACGATTACCATGTTAATACTTTAGTCCGAAAAAGGCTGCAGACCTGGACAGATTCGTGTGTTACAATTTGGTATCAGAGCAAATGGTTTTAAACTCGATCTTCGGATCAAAAATTGGATTTAAAAATATATATTATATATATAAATTTTGGCCATAAAAAATGTCAATCACATCCACGACTCTTGCATGCATCCCTATGCTCCAGGAAGGTAACAAAAAGCTAAGTATTAAATTTGACTGTATTAAATTTTTATAGATGACGACAGTTAATTCTTAAATGATATCAAGTGTTGACTCAAGTCGAACTTTCATACTCGGCAAGAGACGAAAGAATAAACAAAAAAGATATGCCCCTTTGATACGTTATCAATGTGCTCATCACATCACGAGATTAATAAAACGAAAAATTTATCTGCATCGCAGAGCTGCGTGGGAACGAGATGATCCTGAAAAGACATTCAGTGTAGACTCTGCAAAGAGTATCCGTGGATCCGGTGTGGAAGACTCCTTTGTAGATTCGAGACAATCCAACCGTTCAAACGCAAACATTTAGAATTAATCCTGTTATTTCTATTCAAATCATTTGATTGTACCAATTATTGTAATCCTTTGCAATTTCTTCCATGAACTCAACTACTCAAATAAAGAATCCTAATAAAGGAATTTCTGTTATTTGTAGAATGAGTTAAGAAACCGCCCATGGACAAGGCAACAACAATGAACACGTGAGTGTTCATACTGAAGCGTCTAGCTTCACTCCTATCCAAAACGAGCCTGATAATCCACAAACTGTTCCACCGAACGTAGGAAACAATGCGAATGCTTGTGGTCAACATGACTATGCAATTCTTGTCTTCCTGGCAAACTTGTTTCAACAAGTGGCCAATGCTCCAATGTTTCAACCACCACCGCCACAACTAGGCCTGTCAATGGGTTGGGTCTAGACCCGAACCTGTATAATGCCCGTTATTTTTTAGCGAGTTTAGGAATATAAAAAATACCGTATACCTGAACCCATACCCGTACTCGTTATTTAAAAAAAGGATTAGGTATAGGATAAGTAGTCCCGACCCGTTTAAAACCCGTACCGATTAAAAAAATAAATAATATTTAATATTACAATTTACCACAAGTCAACACTAGTACTCCAATTGCACAGTTTGGCCCAAGACTGCCCAACACTTCTTCCAATATACCCTAATCAGTAATAATAATTCACAAACACCATTTATCTCAATTTCTCTTCTCTCTGCGAGTCACTGACAGAATTGGATCGGAAACACTAAAATTTCGATCGCAATCTTGTTCTCCCTTTGTCCTTGATTTCGTTGCTTTCCTTCTTTTGTGCAAATCACTGTTTCTCTAAATCGCCCTATTCGTAAGAATCAAATCCTCTTCCTCCTTAATTATTTTATTTTTTATGCATATTTTCTTTGTTTGATTTCACTTTTGTCTCTAGAAAATTAATTTTAGTTTTATTTTACACTATAGAAAATTAATTTGTCAAGCTTCTTCTCATAACTATTCAATTGTGATCCAGAGAATGAATTCAAGTGAGCAAACTCCATGCAACATTGCTAGAGAAATTGAAGTTGATGGTTCAAATTCTGAGAATGAAGATCTCTCAAATGAGGGAAAAAGGGAACAACCACTTAAATCCAAGGTATGGCTTGATTTGAAGAGACTTAAAACTCCAGGAGGTTATGTTGTTGTATGTAACCATTGCAAAAAAAGAATGACAGGGGGTGGTAGTAGTGGGACCACTCACTTGAAAAAAACACATTGCCAGGTGCACATCTAGAAAAGAGAGGAGTGGTGTGCAACAAGTTCTTCAATTTGAAAAAAGTGTTTTGAATGATGATGCTAAAATGGTCAAGTTTAAGTTTGATCAAAAGAGGAGTTGAATGGACTATGCTAGAGCTTTAATAAAACACAAATATCCATTCAACATGGCTGAGCAATAGTATTTCAAGATTTTTGTAAATAATTTAAACCCAGAATTTAAGTTGGTTTCTCGAAATACTATAAGGGCAAATGTGCATGAACCAATTTGATTTATTGTAAGGGCAAATGTGCAATTTGCAAGAAATGCAAATAGTTTAAACAACCAATTTGATTTATTCCATCATACCCCAAAGCCAAAAAAAATAGTGAATCTTTGGCTTCACAGGGAAATGGAAATAATCGTTAGCGCAACATTCTATACAATATAACAATGTTTGTCGAATCACCTTTTTATAAAACACTCCACTTCAACCAACCCACCTTTAGTAGATGTTCATAATCTCCATCTCTTTGCATAATAGAACCCAAAATCTATAACGATCACTGACCGAGATATTTTGATATTCTATAGTTACTAAACATGCATTCCATATATTCTACTTCACTTCTACTGAGTCTCAACCCCTTCGACTCTAATGTATTCGTCCAATCTCTCTATCTTCTCATTTACACCCAGAGTAGCCAGTCTACGAAAAGAGTATCATCTGCAAACAACATACACCAAGGTAAACCCATAGTTATTTAAGGCATGATGCGCACCAATGCACAAAGGGGCTCTAGTGCCTCGATGCGCGCACATCACAAACAACACAATGCGCACATTGAGGCATAAGTAGCATAGCATCTATAAAATAGTAACAGTACATATAAAATGTTGAAAAGCATAAGAATATTTGGAAAAAAACAACCAAGAATCAGAGTACTTCATGGGTTTTGTTACAAATTAGACACATGCTGTCACTCCTATTTGTTTTTGTGAACCTCCAAACATACTTCCATGAGGATGATTAGAATTTCTTCCGTACATGAAACTTGAAAGAGTGTACAAAAATATAAATACAAGATGGAAAAGAGGGGAAAACCTCACAAAAAAGAACCTGAAAAATACTGTGAAAACAAAATAGTAGGAGCGACTAACTTACTAACCTGATTCTCAAATCTTATTCTCAAATCTCAAATACTACATCAACTTTTATTCTCAAACTCAAGAAAAAATTATATCTAATTTTAAAGCAAAATTGCAAGATACAGTGATTAATAAACTGAAATTCATAAAAAAACAGCTCGTACTATAATGACTGAATTCTCAAATATTTTAGTACATCAGTTTTTTTTCCTCAAATGTCAAACACATAAAAAATAAAAAACAATTAAAATTAAAAACAAAATATAATTAAATAAAGAAATAAAGAGGGATATAGATCTGGATTGTGACTTCAACGCAGTCCAAGTCTGTAAAGGATTAGAAGTAGTTTTTTTTTTAAATAAATGAAGTTTTGATCGGGTCTTATTAGGTCAGGTTGGGTCAGTTTTCACAGGAAAAGACATCGATTCAAAAAAATTAAAAGGTAGAGGTGTGTACATGATGCACGCCTTATAGCCCATTCAACTGCATCGCCTAATACATAGATGCGCAGATATGGTCGTGCTAAAGAACCTCGCCTGATCACAAAAAAGATTCTGCAGACCCTCATGCACATAGGCACGCTTTTAATAACCATAGTTATCACGGCGCCAAGGCGAGGCGCGGCGCCAATGTATCGCCATGACGCCTAGGCGATGATTAGGCGACAAATAATATATATCTATGTGTATATGTATGTGTATGTGTATGTGTATGTGTATGTGTATGTGTATGTGTATGTGTATGTGTATGTGTATGCGTATGCGTATGCGTATGCGTATGCGTATGCGTATGCGTATGCGTATGCGTATGCGTATGCGTATGCGTATGCGTATGCGTATGCGTATGCGTATGCGTATGCGTATGCGTATGCGTA